CCCATTAATTCAGGGCCGCGACTTCCAAAATAATAACCTAAAAGCGTGCCCGGCCCGCCCTGACCTCGAAAACGTAAAACGCGTGTCCTTTTCGATGCAATTTTTGAGAAAGGCTGAGCCAGGATTAAATTAAACATTTCCCGAGCTTCATACGGACGATTGACGATGATCGCCAGAAAAACAGCGCGGTACATTTCTGTAAATCTCACGGATTGCAAAAGGGATCTCCAGTTCATCCTTAAAACCGAATCCTTAATTTTTGCAGGAGTGCCGGTCACATCTCGAGTGACATTTCTCGCACGGCCGATTCGGAAATGCGTGCGCAAGTCTCCGCGCCGAGCCGTATCGATTCCTTTCAATATTCCGCGATACGTTTTATCGGTGCGTTTGCTTTTATGATATCGCCCAGCTTTTCACACCCCCGAAGAGTTACCACCGAGCCGTGCCACTTTGCACTTGGAAACATCGAGGATGTATACAGACATAAGGGAGTTCCCCTGTTGTAAGAAACGGTATGCAATGCGTCTTGGATACCGACGTCCCTCCTGGGTGGTGGTAGGAAAATTAATGCCAGAGAGGGATTCGAGCACCTAATTCGCAGGGATCGGCATTACCCCTTTCCTTAACCCTAATTGCCACGAAAGGATGCCCCTAATAAATACCTCTTACCCAAAAAGTTATTCTAAACCCCTTTTTAATTTTTCAGGTGGGCTACACCTGTCCCGTCCCATATCCATATTCTCGACGTTAAGGGAGTTTCGTCACGCGAGCATACGAGTGCTTTCCAAAAGAGGAGGCATCCAAAAAGAATCTCTTCCCTCCCTTTCTCCCTCTCTATTCCAGAGACGTATACGTCCTGTTATTGCTAAAGTTCCATAGGAAATTTACGCCGGGAATGGAATGCTATACGGGGAAATCGATTTCTCGAGGACGAAGAGACTGTATATACCCTGATTCGATACCTTCCGGCGTATATATAGAGCGAATCCGTGTACACGGAATTTCCCTCCAGTCCGGAAACCTCAGCCACGGGAAATTGCGCATCATCTCTCGGTAATTCCGCCCGCGTCCCAAGACACGCGCGAAACCGTAGAATATTTATCACCCCGTGGTATAAGTCAACAAACTCTCGTGACAAATTCCGCGACCTTTTTTTTTCTCCTACATAATACTTGGGTACGATTTTTCCTCGGTGCAATTTCCATTTTAAATTCCTCGCTCGAGCGCGCACCGGGAAATTCAGCGTCCCACTTTTCCCGCCTGCGAGTAGTGGAAGATTTCCCGGGAAGAGAAGAAGCATCGCGCCCGGGCGCATTAGGATCGCCCGGCGGGCGAATTTATTCCGGGTCTATCGCCCGGAAGATTGCTGTCCTCCTCGGGCCCGTAAGCCTAAATGACGGAATTCGCGGCCTCTCGGGGCGAGGGCAGGTGAATAGAGCTGGCGGAAGGTCTTCGGAAATTAAACGTCCCGTGGAAGGTCTTTTTTCGCGGGAGTAACGTACGGCCGGTGCGCAAGGCCGGCCCGAGGGAGCGAGGACCCGCCATGGCGGCCAGGACAATTTCGCCACGATAAGGAAGTAGATCAAGGCGGGAGATACGCCGGATCCCGGGTAAGCGCCTGGGTGGGCGCGAAAGTGGGCGAAAGTGGGCGGAAGAATGGGCCCGGGTGGGCGCGAAAGCCAGGGGTGACGCCGCGATAGGGTGGCTGCGCGCAAGTCCCACACCTCTTACATTTTGCACAAAACCTGCAAATAAATTTCCTCCCCTTGCTCATGATCTAAATATTTTTCGTCCATCGACGACGCACATACCCTTACACGGGTAAAGGTAAAAAATGAATTAGAAAATAAATACAAACGGGAGACTCGATATCTCCACCCTCGTTTATCGAGAAAATCGTGCTGCCAAGTGCGGATTAGAGGATCGGTTTGCTTGAATCGGTCAGTTGGACACCTATGGAGGCGGAGGAGGTCTTCGGGCATTCCCGAAAGTCCGAAAGAGCGGCGGTCTGCCAAGCGGGCCAATCCCGATCCGTCGAGCAGCATTGACCGGTCAGAAGCCATTAGCGTTACGGACGACAGTGGGTCATTGCCGTGCGGCTGGCTGGCTGGCTGTTTAGTTATTGTTTCCGCCGCAGATTATAGGGATGGGGGGTCTTTATTGCCCTCTGGCGGTAATATAGGTATACGTCCTCCCTCGCCCTCTCGCGCCCACCGGCACGCTTCTGCGCTATACGTTTGCGCTGTACGTGTAGGCTCGTACGAGCTCGCACCTGTTGGTGCCCGCGATTATGACCGCAATAACATTCCGTCAAACTGCGAATGCACTCCCCTTGCCTAACGTACCGCCCGAGAGACCGGAAGTGGCCGGCAACCACGTGGCGAATTCGGAGAGCAACAAAGTGGGGCGGATTTAAATTGACTCACTAAAATCCGTACGTCACCCCATAATCGGAAATTAATTCCTCGCATTCGCGTATTCCGTGTCAACTTCCTGAATGTAATACAAAACTGGGTAAAAAATTCACCCTCGAGTGATTATCTGGAGAATATATTTGTCCTTTTCGGAACTATCTTAATTATTATTGCGGGTGTAGGTGTATCGTTTTAAAGTGGGCAGGTTACGAAAGAGGGTTCGGATTAGCGTGAGTTTCGGCCGGTATCGTTAAAATGGAGGTTCATTGGAGAGATCGATACCATGTACTCCCCTCGCCTATCGGAGCGCGCAGAAGCCGGAAGTGGAGCGCTACCACGTGGCGGGTCCAACTGACAGCGCCATGGCGGAAGGCTCGCCTCCCCCGCGGCAGCGATCCAGAGGGTGCTTTTTTTTTTCCTTCCCTTTCTGCCGGCGCCGAATCGATAAAACGAGATTCGATCACCGTCGGCTACCCCTTACAGGAAACCTCCGCCCCGCGGGGGATTCCTGTGGCGCTTTTAATCTCGGCCGTTTATTTCGGCGCTTCGGTACGGGTTTTCGAAAATACCCGGGGAAACAGATACGCCCCGAACGGAAAGGAAAGCGGGCTGGGATTTATTGATTTTGTGTCGGGAAATTATTTACCGTCCAATAAATCGCGCTTGTCGATAGCACTCGTTGCGTCACGCTATAATAACGGTATCTTCTCGGTAGACCGTCCGATGCAAAACAGTCGGCAAGTCGGATTTCGCGGGTGAAATTCACCGGTAGATCGACCGAGAATAAATATCCCATGAAGCGAGTCCCCCATTCGCGGTCGGCCGAGTGATCCGAGTATTTTCGGCTTTAAATTCGAGCCGGGCTCCGGGGTGGCCGGTTTCAAATCCGCCGGATCGGCCAAGGACGATTCCCGAATTCGATTTAAATCGCGACTGAGAGCTGGATCGAATACTCGCGATCTACTCGCCGAGTGCCGAACCCAGGGCGAGTTTCATTAGGCATTCAATTATGAAAATGCGCTACTGTCGGCGGCGTGAAAAACCGAGTCGCGGCTGCCGACGAGTAATTGTGCGAGGCATGATAGATAGCGCGTCCTGAACGAATGATAAATCGCCAGGCTCGTTATCCGCGTCTGCTTAAGAGACAGAGAGAGGGTCGCGTCACCTGAGAAGTTCACACCTCCCTTTCTCAGATTTCCGAAAACTTATGAAAAATCGCTACCTACCATTCGATTCCGCCAACGTGATCCAAGCGACATCGACCGTTTGAGAAGGAAAATTTGTGCTAAGCGGTGTTAAAAAAAAATGATATTTGTATCGTCGCGCCTTATGGCGGCCATCTTTGCGCGCGATGGCGATCCAGTTCGGCTGCGCCGATGATGGAACGGCCCTCGCTCCTCGAGCAGCTTGCCGGCCCTCGGTCATTTCCTCGCGTAGCATCCCTCGCCTTCGGTATCTAGGTATCTCTTGGCGCGCCGATGCGAGGTATCGGCTCCTCGCGCATAGGGCGGCACCAGGCCTGACATCGTCTGCGGCTCACCACGTGGTCGGGGTCGGCCGTGTGTGCGGGGCAGTGCCACAAATCACCATTACTCGATGTGTATCGCGACGCTATATAATTATACCTATAACGCCAAGCACCAGGTAATGGCTCAATCCTGCACGTGCATGCGATGATAACCGGCCGGAGGAATCCGCGAGGTGGGGTCAGCGGCGGGAGATTCGAAAAAGCGCGCCGCCATTGGTCTCCTCGGGGTCACGTGGTCGGTTGCGTCACCGGGCCGTCCCTGCGCGCGGGTAGAGCCGCGGGAGGGAAAGAGAAGGCGCTCCGGAGCGACCGCGGCGGTCGGAGAGAGACGCGGCGTCCCCTCTACCCCCTCCCTGCGCCTCCGCCATTAACAACGCCCTTGCATATAAATCCTACTTTTACCCCGGTGTGCGCGCGTCGTTCGTCTCCGTCTCGTAGGCCGTCGGCCCTCTCTCTCGCTCGCCCGCATCCGCACGTGGCCCCCTCTCACTCGACCCTGGCGACCGCGCGTGTATGCGGGTCACCGCTGTCTCCGTCGCTCCCGTGCTGCCCGCATACATCTCTCGCTCTCGCTCCGTCCCTCGCTCGGCGCTGGTCTCTTCCTCGGTGGGCGCTCTCTCTCCCTCTCGCGCCGGCTACCTATTGCCTTCTCTCCCTCGCCCCCCTGGCCGGCCGCGCGTCCCGCCCCTCCGGCCACCGCTGTCCCGCGTCCAGCCGGGGGTGGGGCGAGGCGCCGGGGGGAGGGGGTAGCACACGAGGACGGGGAGCGAGCAGCACCACGGCTGCTCGGGCCGCGGAGGCAGCGCCGCGTGGCGGCGCGAGGTGGGGACTATCGGCCGTAAACCATCCGCGGCGAACATTTAACTCACGTATTGCCATCCGACAAGTTTGCTTTGGCTCGCGAGAGAGACCGTCCGAGGGACCGGCCAGGAGCTCTTCCGCGGCCGGCATTTACCTGACCCGAGGCCCGCGAAGGGCCTCTGCCGCGCGGCGCACCGCCGCGCGCTCCTTCGCCCGGGACGCGGAACGCGGAACGAGACCGCGGACGACTTCACGCGGCTCCCGGACGCCGTCGGCGCCGACGGCGAGCTGACCGCGCTCCTAGCACTTCGCACCTCGCAATCATCTTGCCATGAACTGCGACGACCAAGGACTGCGACGACATCGACACCTGGACCTGGCCCTGGCTCCGGACCACACCGACTGCTAGCCGCACGACCACACGGTAAGGCCGAAAAGAAGTTCCTTAATGCACGTGTACTCGTGCTGACGAAGAAGGGGGAATGATCTCAAATTTTTGTATCGGAGATGACGGGGTACCCGCTGATCCGTAAAACATGGGGTTAGAAAATTCTTTGTAAAACGCGGGAAGAAGGGACATTTTTTATTAGGGAGATTTAGACCGCATTATTTGCAGGCCGTTCTTGAGGAGGGTCGGTGTCCGAGTATGTCCGGTGATCGATGCAGGAAAACATCACTTTGTGCGGATTGCACGCGGGTTGTACACGGATTGCCCGCGAATTTCGGTCGGGAGGTGTTATTGTGCATACTGGGAAAGGTATTCACTTGGCGGGAGTAAATCAGTCCGTTTAATGGACACCTGTGCCGCAATTTATTACCGCTGAATAAAATTCATTTGGACCGAAAGGATTTTCTCGGTCAAAATAAATTTTCCATCCGACCATGATGAATAGGAACGGTGTCCCCTATCACGGGTGTTGATTTATCGAGATGAGAAATTTTACTTTGTGAGATTATACTAGGGCATAATTTGCCGACCTTGACAAGTATGAAGTTGCGACTCGCAGCATCGCTCTGGAGCAAGTATTCCGCTCCCGTTTGTTCCTTCCAGGGAGGCAAATTTCTCAACAATTGGCAGAATTTTTTAAGGCAATTGAAAATTTCATACACGTTCCTTTTCAATTTATAATCGTCAACACCCTCTTTTCCATGTAGAGAAAAATTCCGTTTGCCCAGAATTTATGCACATAGTTAACTAATTACCAATCAAGCTTATCACAATACAAGTGAATTTCTCACCATATATTTTACATCGGTACTGACACTTTTTTACAAGCCGCGCGGGCAGTCGATATCGCTGCCATCGCCTCATTTGATTCCTGAATCCAATTAAAATTGTCTATTCACGCCTACCAAAACCGTTCCTGTAATTTCCCCGAAAAAGGAAGCGCGGCAAATACGGTTTACGCGGTGCATCGTGTCAACACCGTTTGCAACATTTTCTTTTGCAACACGTGTTTATCGGGGCCCGAGGAAGGGGCGAAAAGGACGGTATCCTTATTCCTGAGAAATTGCGCTGCCCGTAATTTATGCAGGCGGTGCATAACGTGCCTATCAAGCTTATCAACGTACTGATGGATCTATTGCCCGGAGAGCGGCGGTCCGGTATCACTGTCGCGTATGACGTTTTCCACTTGGAGTCGATATGTGCTCTTTGGTTCAAGACGCGCTTAGCTGCGGTTTCTCTCGACCGGGTCGAGTAAAAGTCATTATACGCGATACCGTACCTTGTAGACCTTGGCACGAAACGTAGGTATCTGCTAGAGTGATCCGTTCCGCCATTGCCGGTGTCGCTGCGAGGATAGGGGGCTAAGATCGTTCCAGTGACGTCATCGCCAGGGACAAAATTGATCCTGTAAGCGGATGACGGTATTCGCACGAGAGGACGTCGGGAATAAAGGCAACCTCGAGTCGCGACGTGGACGATAATTTAGAAACGAGGTGCGGGAACACGAGGTGCACCCAGGACACGAGGAACGCGCCCAGATTGGCAGGACCTTGATCCAGGATCTTATTGTTTCTGGGCCCATTCCTCGGGGCGCGACCGAAATTTATTTCCCGGCCAACTTTTCGGACACTTGGTAAGGCTGACGTTTTAATTCCGGGGTAATTTCACTGGGTATCATCGGCGGGGCGTTCGACTGTTCCCTTGGACGGAACCTCTGTGAGCGCCCCATTAAACGCGCGGCACACCGTCATTACTCGCGGATACACCTTGCTCCCTCTTATCGATCTCGTTCATCAACCTCCAACCTAACAATTTGCAAAGCCGCGTTTACCCTGGCCGTTTCGCCGATGGCGGCCGAACTTCGGGTCTAGCGCTTCCCAGGGTTTGTTTGACCGCCATAAATTGTGCATCTTCGGGGTCGACGACTCCCCCAGCCTTCGATATTCGCGAGAGCTTCGTCAGTTCTCGTGCCGATTAATTTCCGTACACGGGGTCGGTCTGATAAGGCGCCGGGGTCGAGATTATCCACCTACAACGAGGAGTATCGACTCTTTTTGCTCTCGAAACTCTTTCCCCTGGGCTTTAAATGTTTCAAGGTTCACAAAAATCGGGCAACAATCAGTCATTGTCGTATTTCAAGTACGAAGAGTTGGGTTAGGTTAACCCACTTCCGCGGGCTCTCGCTTGATATTTTTCGATTTTAACCTCTTCGTGGTGAGGATATGTCGAGTGGCCCTTGAAATCAGGGGTGAATCGGAGGTGAATCCAGAATGAATCCAGAATGAATCTAGAATGAATCTAGAATTTAGAATAAATCTACAATGAAACGAGAACGAATCGCGGAAGCGAAGCTATCCAAAGGTCTCTCAGCTCCAAGAACCATCTCTCCGTCGCCTGACGGAGCCCATAAATAAGGATGCGACGGTCGCCGCGGCTGCAGGCGGTGATAAGCGTCCTCCTCTCGCGTCCTTACCTCCGCCCCCGGTCGCGGCGCCCCTCGGCAGGGTCTAATATCTCGGGGGTGGTCGCAAGGGGTGCGACTCGCGGGGGGTTGGTCGGACCCCCGTATTACGTCGGGCCATATCACGGGCCGCAACGGTACAACAACGCACCCGGCGTTTCCAACTAAAACGAATAGGTAGCCGGCGCCTTCATCCCCTACGGGCAGCACGGAGCGGCCATTTCTCATATCAGTTTAGCCGACACTTTCGAGAACTTGCCCGTAGAGCCCGGGGCGTCGCGACGTCACCCGATGCCCCCCCTGCCGCGGCCCCGTAACTCACCCCGAGCCCACCGGCGACCCCAACCCTCGGCCGATGTGCTCGGAGGCGACCACCCCCGACCCGCCCGCGGCCGCGAGATAAGTGACGCCCGAAGCTTAACAAACCCTCCGAGGATGATAGAGGGCGAGAGCCGCCTCATGGATCGGAACTACCCCCGGGTTCCCTCGGAGATCCGACCCCCTCGACGCCTATCTTCCCTCTCGAGCAACCCCTCGAGATCCCCCTACCAGGGAGGGACCGGGAACGCCGACAGACCTTCTGGATACTCGTTCTCGAGGAACTCGGCCCGTTACCGAGGATTTGCCCGGATCTTCCGAGATCGGCTCCCGGTTTGGGAGAAATATTAATTTCCCTTCATCCCCCGCGTTTCGGCGACCTCTTATGTTTCGACCAACGCGTCCTCGTGCACGTGCGACGCGCGGAACGAGTTATCGGTGGAAGTCGTTAATCAGCGCGGCCTTCTCTTTAGGTGAAATCCGTAATTACTGGGATTTATCGAGGGGCCGAGCCCGGTCTATTCGCAGAGCACTCGCGCTCACTTTTAACCGCGTTTGAAACGCGCTTTCTGTGCGCTGCCCCTGAGGCCGCCATGTTTGATGTGCCATTCGAGGTAATACCTTCGACGTGCCACTTCGCGGACTCCCAAATTGACTCCTGGAGCCTCTGATTTTCCGGGGCATTAATAAGTCTGATTTAAAACTCTCGCCGAGGGAAGGAACTCCTCGGCCGACGGCTTTATGAAGTGGAGGACTTTATGGCCGCTACCGCCGGCTCCGCGCATGGTTCGCTCGTGCTACGGCTATGAAGTGATCTTTCGGTTTTTCTTTTTTTTTTTCTTTCTTTTTCAAATTTGCCGGTTTTATTCTCGCTCTGAATAATTTTCGCGGGTCGGGAAAATACGTCGGGACGTCGCAGTGGCGACGGTCTTGGCGCTTCTCTTGGGAGAGGGATGTTTACGAGCGTTTAAACCTCGTGAGCTTTTGCCTCTCCGTCGCTCTAACGTCCCGGCGCACGTTCCGGGTCACGGAGTTTTCTATCTCGGTGCCCTAGTCCCTATTAATAGCTATCTCAAAAATGAAAACAATCGCGAGGTCCTGCGGAGGCTGATGCGCGAGTTCCGCGCGGACTGCTTTGACGGACTCTCCGCCCGAGGGATGCTCTTGAGACTCTTTTCAAGAGAAATTTCTACCGAGACGGAGTATAAACATTTTGAGATATTCGGCCGTAAAATCTGCCAAAGAGGCGGAGACGTTTGCAGAAGAGGCCTCCGGAGAATCTCGAAGACCGCCCGCTCTTCGGGATCTCTTAATCCTGATGGAAAAATGCAAACAAAATTATTTCTCCGTCTGCGGCCTCGTTAATCCCAGAAATGGCTCCGGCCGTTCTTCGGCGTCGTTAATCGGCGAAATTGCCCGCGATGGGCAGAGCCTAAAAACGCGCCGGGGGAATTTCGGAAGAATTGAAACCGGACGAATTTTTTCGCGATTTTCTGCTACATTAATTAGGGAGGAAGACGCGGCGCGCGGTAGCAGCGATGGCAGGCAATTTTTCAGGATCGTTAATCGACGAAATTGTCCCCCGCCGCGTATGCGGTGGCGCAAAGAACCGCACTAGTTTCCCGAAGCAGGAGAGCCAATTGGAAAGCGACGATAAATCAGGGGTGGATTTTTCACGGGAGGCAATTGTTGCGAGAAGTTCCCTTTCCCGGGTAAACAAATGCCTACAAACTGCTTAGTCCCTCGCGGTTTCATTAATGCCGGAAATTCAGCATCCAGGCGTGATTTATTAAGGGCGTATCCGCGCGCCGGCGATCCTTCCTGCAAAATGACCAGACCCGAGCTGGAGGCAATGTTAAAAAATTAACAAAAACCTCTACACCACTCCTTTGATAAGCGAAGAGTTAGGAGTTAAGGTCCTTTGCACTGTTTTAATACTCGAAAATACAGAGTTAAGATCCTTTGCGCTGTTTTGATACGCAAAAACACGGAGTTAAGGCATTCAAATTTCTTGGGCGTTCCTGGTCGAATGGTTACCTGTTAGTTTGCCGAAATTTACCTTGAAGATTACGAGTTCCGGCCAAAGTCGGCCCGACAAATGGGTGTTTAAGGGCGCGGGTAACATTGCCAAAGGGAGGTCTAATTTCGGAATTGGACCCCCTCGTCCTCTCTCTTCGTCGCTCCCCCGGGAGTCCCG